CATTAGGTGATTCCTAAGGTGAAGTTCCTGCCCTTTCTGGGTATGGCTGGGGAATGAACAGCAGATACTGCATCTTGCCACAATGTCCCCATGGCAGTACAAACAGCATTGGTGGTCATTGCTGACCAAGAAGTATTGTGGGCAGGAAGCACAAATCTTGAAGCCTGGAGTCCTGGGCATAGTCCAGTACCCAAATGAGATGGGGAGGGTGGGGTTTGGGAGGCTCCCCACGTGCAGTAGACTAACTATAAAACACTAAAACTAAACAGATAAAAAGTTTAAAACTTGAGAATATAAAATCTATTTACAGCTATCTAAATATATTTTCACAGGTAAAGAAGAAAGCTGAACCTTCAGACACTGGATGTTCCAACCTGGACCACGCTGCAGAGAGAAGGAACTGGAGAGGCGATCAGTTTGCCCTGTCTTTTACCTCCTCGGTCAGAGGCATGAGGTGAGCCAGGGCGCACGTGCAGACCAACGGACACTGCTTTCAAAATTTCCCAGCTCTGGGATCATGGAATGCATGCATTCCCACAGTGGACTACACATAGCACTTGAAAAAAAACAGATATACTGTAATCTCAGCTTTTAGTGCTGGTGACAGTTACCACTACCTTGACATCCCTGAGTTTTACCTACAGTTTTCCTGATGTTCAGAAGTCCTAGCAGATTGTGAGCATGTCAAAAGGAGAGCTGGAATGATACAACACTGCATTATGGCTTTTTTCCCTCTTGTAGTGACTTTTTTTTTTTTTTTTTTAAACACTGCAATTTTCCTGGTGAAAGGCTGGGGCACTTCGGCAAACATGAATGACAATATTTTGAAATCCTTCCAGGAGATTAATTCACAAAATAACTGTTATAGATGACATTAGGATAAATAAAGACAGCAAATTACAACAGATAGTTTCTCAAAAGAACAGTATTTAAAACGGGGGAGAAAAAGTACTAGTGTATGGAGAACTATAACAGGGGAGGCAGACACCAAGAAGAAACACAATGTAAGGGTATTTGGGGATGTAATAAAGAGAGAAAATGTTTGGCTATGAAACAGAATACTGAATCAAAATGTTGCCTATAGCCTAACAAATTTAGAACTTCCTAAAAATGAAGAAAGCTTTGATCTTATTGATTTTTATTGAAATGTGGATCAACAAAGTATCTAAAAAACAAAAACAAACAGAGAGGGTTCCCATTATAGTTGAAAGAGAATTTAAACTGATCCAAAAAAAACCCCCACCATAGCTAAAACTATGGACAATAGAGAGAAAATCTCTAAGTCTGCAGACCTAGATATAGGGACAGTGAATGGTAATGTGGCATAGAAAAAGGTTACCTGTGTAAAGGGAGCACATGCAGTGTAGGATTTTCAAAAGCACTCAGTGTTGTCCTAATTTTGCTGCCATTGACATAATTGGTAAATACACAACTTATATTAGACCTTATAGTATGTGTTTTGTATGTATACAGTGAAACTTAATTTAAGCTACTATTCAAGGAACTTAAAAACCTGGCTGCTTACAGAAGGTGGTTTCATAATTCAGTGGTTTCTATTCAATATAGGTTCTTATTATACTGCACTCATTACTGTATTATCTGCACACCTAATAAAAAGGCAGCAAAATTATAATCAAGATACTTTGGGGCTTTCTTTTAAGAAATGAAATTGCTAATAAGAATTGTCTCTTTTACAGGTTTCTCTATCTGTGTGCATCACGAGGTAACAATTGTTTTTAAATGCTGTAAGTGATGTTTTATATTACTTGCATGAAGCATTCAGTAGTACTGTACTGCCATAGCATTAAACAAAGCTAAGCTTTTTACACCTGTGTATTTATTTGCTTGTGGCAGTTTGTATCATCACTTTGCTGTTTAAAATACTGCATTGTACGTATAATATACAAACTTCCATTTCATTAACTGTTTGGCAGTGCTGTTGAAACTGAAGATTTTGCCTAATTTATTTAAAAAATCTTGGTAATAAATCCATTCAAACTCAACTCCATAATAAAATTATTTGATTGGGGATTCCTTTATGTTTTAAGAAACTTTTAAGACCTGCTCAGTGCAGGAAAAATGGTGGACCTTACAAGCCACATGAGGAATTGGAGGACCTTATAAGGGTGCAGATCTGAACTCATTCCTTTTCTGATTGCCTTCTACCTCCACATGGGTCTTCTTCCTCTCTGTTCTCCAAATCAGATACTATCCTCTAATCCTACAGCTTCTATGAGGGAGTCTAATGACTGTTCATTGCTCCCCTCTGGAGCCTGAAATTGTTAACTTTCTGGGAATGGTGCAAGACCTATTTTTTTCATAGGCATTTGGGAAGTGGGTGATCTAGGGCAAGGGTTATCAACCTTTTTCTCTCTGAGCTTCCCACCCCCCAACATGCTATAAAAACTCCATGGCCCACCTGTGCCACAATAACTGGTTTTCTGAATATAAAAGCCAGGGCCAGTGTTAGGGGCTAGCAATTAGGGCAATTGCGTGGGGCCCCTACAAAGCTACATTTCTCAGGCTTTGGCTTCAGCCCTAGGTGTTGGGGCTCAGGGTCCCGGGCTTCAACCCTATGCAATGGGGCTTCAGCTTTCTGTCCTGGGCCCCAGCAAGTCTAATGCTGGCCCTGCTTGGCGGACGCCCTGAAACCTGCTCGCGGCCTCTCCCCAGGGGACAGGGGGTTGAGAACTGCTGATCTAGGTATCATAAGGATTTTATTTATTACATGAAAACCATCTTTAGAGTCTACTTATCACACAAACCTCCTCAAAAAATAATCAAAGGTACTTTTACTTGTAAAGCCCAGTAGAATATATGAAAATGAAGCACTTTAGGATATATGGTGACCTTAAAAAAATAAACAGCCAAATTTTTTTAACTCCCATATCTCCAAAACATCTTGTGTGATTTGCCCAAAACTTGGCAGAAAAATTCAACCATGCAATGGGATCTAACATTCACAAGACTAGTTTGGGTTTAGTGAAATAAGGAATGGGAATGCAGTTTTGCAAATCAAGTATCTATCAAGAAGCTAACTTCAACATTAACTATGGAGAGCCTAGTACCTCTCCAGAATATGTCCATGTTCTGTATATGAAATGTGCTACTCTTGCCTTTACTCTTCCCTCAGAAGAAAAACTTTGCAAAGAGTGCCTCCAGAGTAAATACACTGCTTATTTTTAGAAAGATACTGGTTCTGGGGGTTAGTGATGGCACTCTTGTGCTGTGAGCATGGGGTGCCCTATAAGAATAGGAAAATATTCCATTCCATCACTGTGCAAGTCATTTGTGATGTGGTTAACTTCTTCTAGTGGCCAATGTAAAATATGTATCAAGCTTCCTATATTTGTTTTGCATATTATTGGTTTCACCATTCCTTGCTCTAGTAAGCAGTACACTGTGTGGTACTGGAGGCAGGCTGTATGTCAAAGGTTGACAGAAATTAGAACATCTCTAGATAAACTAATAAATGCCTGGTATCAGAATACTGCTTAGATACCCCTGCTTAGCTGCAACTTGTTTGTCTTAACCCTCCCCCCACTCAGGATGCAGTTTTTATTTACACTGTATTTTCTGGATTCCAATCCACAGGGAACTGCAGAGTCTACCTTACTGTAGGGGTTGTGGGCCAATGCAGAGACCACACACACAGAATCACATGGCGCACTGTGGTTACAGAGCTGTGCTCTAGGTACATCGACAATACTTATTTACTACTAAGCCATGGACAACTTTCCAGATTAAACCTTTTACAGCCACTTGAATTGCCAGCTGCTCCTGAAGATAGTCTTTACAACCAGTATTCAATGAGTACTATGGGGTACATCTTCCTTTCTTGCCACGGAAAAACAACTGTTCCTTTGGCAGAACAAGTGAGACGAGTAGCTCAACATCAGCTGGAGCAAAGGGGGGGGACACTCTTGTGACTTGCATTTATTGTTCAATATAGATAGATGTATAGCTCAGAGATGCATGTAGCATAACTGAGTAACTGTCTGATCTTATTTTTGTAACCCTTTCCCTTTCTCACCCCCATCTAACCCTATTGTTCATTAACAAAACAAAACAAATCAAAATCAGGGCAGGAACCATGCCTTTCTAGTTTCACTATAAAGCACCCAACTCATTTTTGTACATTAACATAAATTAAGAACACTTGTGTGGACACAAACGTTGGAAGTGTTCACGCCTGCAAAGAACAGGCACATATATTTGTATGAACAAAAAATGTGCATGCAAAAGTACAGATTGGGGGATGAGCGTTTTTTCCCCTCAAGTACTTTTCCAAATAAAAAGCAAGTGCATTTTAGTGTACACAATGTTTTTAAGTAACGCTATTTTTAATAAAGTAACTTATGATGTGTCTAGTCTCTTTACACACCCAAGTGGAGTGAATATACATTTACAAATGCTCACCCTGATGTGCATTATTCCTTACCTTCAGTTGAAAATAACTTTTAAAAATCAACAATCCTAAATATATAGGCACATTAAGGTATCATTTTCTAGTAGAGCCCATCAGCTATATTAAGAGGGAAATTAATGTTGGCAATATATTTTCATTCTTCTTTTCATGATTGTGTGTTAAACTTCCCAAAAGATTATTAAGGAAGAAGGAATTATGAGGAAATTTGATGAAAAGCAGAAGACTTTCAACTGTTATGTAATACATATTATTAAATGTGGGCTCAGGGCCCGACTTAAAACCCACTGAGGTTAATGGAAGTCTTTCCATTGACTTAATGGGCTTTGGGTCAGGCGTTCAGTGTCCCATCCCACTTACACCAGTGAACTTAAAGCAACTCTGCCAATTAGTTTTAGAAATGTGGATCCCATCCAAGACTCTGAAAGTAGTAGATTAAATTGAAATATACAACATACCTGAAAGGTGTGTATACAAAAATCCTGAAGTCAGTAAAGAATATAGCATGTTAGTCCTTAAAATAAAAAGTACCTCATACTACAAATGTTGCTGTGAAAATCAATATATTTCATACTTCTCCTCTTGATGGTGGTCCTCTTGGTCACTAAGCTCATCATCATCTACCAGATGTCCAAAGGGCTCAGAAGAAATTGATACCATGTTAGAGAGAATGATTCTGCTATCACTGCTGCCTGAAAGGACTAACTGGTCATGAGAATGATTGTATCGTACATTCCATACCCTATAAAATGAAAATAATTTAAAAAGTATTACAAGAGTCTATTCCACAGAGTCAATAAATAAATATACTGCACTGTTTAAATACATTATTTCAATTTAAACGTGAACAAATAGTTTAAGAGTAATCTAATCTGTAAAATGGGTTATGCTCTAAGAATTATTTTGGGGAAGTTCTATGGCCTGTGCTATACAGGAGGTCAGATTAGATGATCATAATGGTCCTTTCTGGCCTTAGAATCTATAAGTATGGGTAGAATCTGACACACTCATTCTAGAGATTGTTTTATGCTGTCTTCACTTTGGTCATAAACTTCCATGTAATTTGATTTTCCAAGGCCACATCTTTAAAATTCAACAAACAGGTTGCAGGTGGGGAGGGGAGGGTGGAAGGACCAAACCCTAATATAATTCCCCAAGAGTAAATGTCTGCTTATGGTTCAATATATCAAATAGACAGTCTAAAAATACTAAATACAGTAAAGTACTCCAAAAGCAAAATATGGATTCGAAATAAACTTCTACATTAACCAAGATCTCACAACATTATCACAGTGAACTGTTAAACTAGACCCTAAATCAAAAGGATTAGATTTTGCTAGTGTTTATATTTTATGAATTAGGTTAATACCAATCGCTTTATGATTTTCTTTTGTTCTATTTTTGTTTTCATCTTCTCAACAAGTAAAAATATTGCTTCTGTTAATTCGCATTTTCAAGCTACTGCCAAAGTGGTTGCAGGGTCCAGATTTAAGGTGCAAGTGATTCTGCAGCCCAAATCCCAATATAAAGTGCTTAGCTTCTCTTAACTACAAAAGTATCTATTCATAAGCATTCAAAAATGGAATGGTTAATCTCTTTAGTAATTTTTTAAAACCATGGGTGAGATTCTCACCTTACTCTGGCCCGTTCGTATTGTGTAGAGGGGCCAGAATGGTGTAAAGGGGCTCTCAAAGCCTTGGATCTGGCCAAGGGAGAATACTGCCCCAGGGCACAAAGTGATCTAAGGACCCCCCCTGCCTGTGCTGGCCCAAGGGATGTGAGGAGCAATTTCACGGGTGCGGGCTGCAGCATGTAGCACTGTAGAGATGTTGGGCAATGCAACTGCCATAAGGCAGCCCAGGGAGGATGCTGTAACTGAGACAGCCCTAGGGCTGTGTAAATTATGTCAGGGGCCGCAAAGCAACCCAGAACTCAGAATGCAGAGATGTCTTAAAAAAGGCACCTGAGTCCCTTCTCCCTGTGCTGTGCCTCTTAGAAAATACAGCCCAGAATCTCACCCTTCATACAGCTGAAAATACCTTACTGGAAATTGGATTAACATTCCCCAACCCTTAATTTACAAATTATACAAGAAATAGTCACATATTAAAACCATTCCTCGATGCAGAAAAATGATGAATCACAATAGCATAAACACAGCTAGTTTGCATTGTTTTTAAACAGTAAAATAATTAGCAGAATAAATTACATAAACCGTCCACCCACAAAACAGCATGCAGATAATTTATTCTACCAGTGGGAATGCTCCTCTAGTGTCTTCACTGGCTCAGTAACATTTCTAGTATCCCAGAATTTCACCTTGCAGTCATCTCCACAACTAGCCAGGTAGTACTGTTTGTTGGGATTAAAGTCTAGGTCCCGTACCAGCTGTCCATGTGCATTTTCTATGTAATAGATCTGTCTGTAAAACACACATTAAAAATTAAATGTACTATGAAAGCTAAGTGCAGTTTACTGATAAAAATCTGTTTCTCTAGTAACTTGGTTAATCCTTTGGCACTGACAGAGCTAGGCCACGTCTATATTATAATTAGGGTGACCAGATGTCCCGATTTTATAGAGACTGTCCCGATATTTGGGGTTTTGTCTTATATAGGCAGATATATAAAGATATGAAAGACCACATTCCTGGATCTGTGTGCCAAGCTCACCCCAGCCCTCCAGTGCAGGGAAACCAGACTGAGAGCTGCATTGGCAGTGGCGAAATGAGTGGGGACTGCACTGTAAAAGCTTGCAATTCCAGATTGCTACCACTCTGTGGGAAATCATTTTGGAGTTGGAAAATCCACAGTGGGGGCTGAAATCATGCAAGTGTATAGAGCCATTAAATAGTCTCCTCCTATACAGGACTGTGACTCTTGGCAATATGAAGGACATGGTGGATGGATTTGCAGCAATGGGGTTTCTGAACTGTGATGGGGTGATAGATGGCATGCATATCCCTATTTTGGCACCAGCACATATTGCCACAGAGTACTTCGACAGAAAGGGCTATGTTTCTGCATAGACTGTCGGTCCTTCATCAGTTAAGACTGAGACGATCACAACACGTCTTCCAATCTTCTCTCGCTCTGGCCATCCTTCGCCATGCCTGTCCATATCTCCTTGTTAGGAAATCATCCCACCTTTTTGGAGGCCGACCACATGGTATGTTTCTATGGTTATGCAAGTATTGGTAGCTCATCGGGTTGCTTTCTCGATATTAATGGGGGCTGGTCAGGGAAGGTGCATGATGCTCGCATCTTTAAGGACTGTTCAGAAAGCTGCAAGCAGGGACATTCTTTCCACTGGTGGATTACAATTGGTAATACTGAAATGCCAAATACTAACTTTCTTCACCCTCTCCCCCATTCTATTCTCTATCATCTGAACATATGTCAGGATTACCCCAATCTTAAAAGACCCTCCCACGACCACACTTGTTTCTTCAACTACTGTCCCATCTTCTTTCTTCCCCATTCTTCCAATCTTCTTGCAATTTATTTCCACTGCCTGGACCTTCTCTGATTTAATTTTCTTTTGGAATCCACACATTCTGGTTTCTACCTTCTCAGCTTGACATACACTGCTCTTATTACAATTACCAATGACCTCCTCCTGCCCTAGCATGAAGGTCCTTTTTTTTCTGTTCTTTTCCTCATTCATTTGTCTAACACCTTCAACATCATTTTCTACTCACTCTGGGGGTTTCGACAGTATTCTCCTGCTTCTATTCTAGCCCTTCTTCAGTATCTCCCTCCTCCCTTTTCCCATTCTCTGCAAATTTTTATCCTTGGTTCCCTCGTCTTTACTTCTTTTTCCTTAGTTATGGCTCAATTCATCTACTCTTATGGCTTCCACTCCTACTTCTGCCTACTTACAGGAGCTTTCTGTAGGTCAGCTAGTCTGGCTCCCCTTATTGTGAAGAACCTGCTTTTTTCCCCAATGCTAGTCAGTTATGCAGTTCTGCTCTGTCCAAGCTCAGAAGCTCCGTGGGTCTGAAGAGTCCCTCCTGCAGAATTTGGTAGCTTAAATAACAGATCCCATGTAAGACTCCTGGGATACAGCTCAGTCCCATGAGCTCCTAAACTCTGCAGAGTAGAAGCTTCAGACAAATCTTGGGGAATGTCAGAGTTGTGGTTCAATATGACTATACACCAACAGGTCCACATGCAGTTGGTGTAACATTTTCATACACATAAAACATGGGTAGCTGGGGCAGAATAGTTATATTCCAGGAAATACAGTGACTTTACATATTTAGTAGACAAATCAGACTAGCCTTTTTCTAGAGATACTACAGTCTCTTTAGCTCAGAGAGTTATTCTTGTTTGTATTTTTTTTTCATGTAGATTGCAAATAGTTAATTGTCTGAAGCCCATTGCTCTTCAAACTGGTTTTGGGACTGTCTAATCTGAGCTATGATTTTTTCTATAGCTTGTATTTTGTTTAGACGAGCTGTAATTGTGAAGTTTGCTTTTGTAAACTATACTGTAGCATTTTTCTTTTAGCTACTGTTAATAACCTGAATAAATATTTTTCACTGGTGTTTACTAGGATACTTCATTAAGCACAATATTCAGAAGATTTCTCCATTAGGACTAGTAAGTAAGAGCGTGAAACATAAATGTATTGTGTGCATGATCTTTATCACTTAAACTTTCCTTCTTAGAAACATAGTTAGGCTTTAAGCTCAAGTGTGAATACAACATGCTGAAATGAGATAATTACAGAAAACAAAGGAAGAGCCCCAAAAAATCCTTCTCCTTTGCCCTTCAACATTACCGCCTATACGTTTTTATTAAAGTCAGCCTTATTTATAAATATGAAGTTAGATTTTTGCATGTCCTCTTACAGAACAATGAAAATGACAAGATGCTAGAACTGGGGTAGGCAACCTATGGCACGTGTGCCAAAGGCAGCACGTGAGCTGATTTTCAGTGGCACTCAGACTGCCGGGTTCCTGGCCACCGGTCTGGGGGGCTCTGCATTTTAATTTAATTTTAAATGAAGCTTCTTAAACATTTTTAAAACCTTATTTACTTTACATACAACAATAGTTTAGTTATATATTATAGACTTATAGAAAGAGACCTTCTAAAAACGTTCAAATGTATGACTGGCACGCGAAACCTTAAATCAGAGTGAATAAATGAAGACTCGGCACACCACTTCTGAAAGGTTGCCAACCCCTGTGCTAGAAGTACAAGAAGAAATGGCTTTTGATGACTGTATATATGTCTAGTTAGCTTTGCTTTATGAAATTAAATAAACATTTTTAGCTTGGGAAACATGGGGACTTACTGCTGCACCCTGGGCTTGCAGGAGCCATAGAACTAAATTTGAAATCATCCCCCCTTTAAGGCAACAGAAGTTATTACAAGACATCCGTTTTCTCAGTTTAGTGATAAATTACTGTATGCTAAGGGGATAAATGGTATCTTAAAAAAGCTTGCAGAGGCTTCTGTTGTTATGGCAACAGATGTGCACATCTCACCACTCCTTTGCCTATCAAAATCACAAACAGAGCAGGTAAAGAGTCCCTAACTTGGTATATTTGCAGCATTTTGTTGGTCTTGGCTCACTTTTTTTTAAATGAAGTCCAAGATTGTGTGGAACTAGTATGTTATAATCTTAGATACAGTAGTTACTAAAATGGTAAAAGTGAAAGGTAAGCTTACCTCCGAAGATTAAATTACCTTTAACCATCATACTATAGAGGTAACAATTAGTGCACCATCAGTACTCTGATTTAAACAGAAATTGATTTTCATGATGAATTACAAAACAGCTCTAGTTTAAGTAATACTTATATTGTGTATTGAACAATCACCTTGGGACTACTGCATAGTTCGATGACACTCAATATACAAGGTAGATTTGAAGCTTAGAAAAAACCCAAGAGTAAACCCTTTACTTGAAAGCTCTGAATACACCAACAATGCAATCCAAATCCATTCCATTTACAATTATTTATGCAGTCATATCTTTTCTACCCTTTTTTTCAAAAAAACAAGTCAAAAGTGATGAAAATTAACCTCCAATGGAGAGTCTATTCTTTAAGAACAAGAGAGCAAATTTTTTTGTTACCTCATACTTCGTGTATCCCATCCTCGAATGGCAGTATCATTGGCTGTTGCAACCTGTGTACAATTGTGGTGTGGACTCCATCGTCCGGAAGTAAATTTTAATTGCCCTTTTCCTTCCAATGCAGCAGAATTGGAGAGCTGGGCATTAAAAAAAATGGGGTATTTACAAATAAGGCTAAAATAAAAATAAATGCAGACACAGTGGAAAAATTGCAAGCTGACTTATTGCTCCAACTGCAAGAAAGTAAGGTAGAGATGCTAGGATAATAATGGGGACAAAATACATACATACATATATACATAAAAAGTATGTAAAAAACCCAGACCAGTAAGTTTGTTTTCTAGCCTATACAATACGAAGTAATTTATATAAGGTTTATTCAGTGTAAGTTACTTAGTAAACAATGGATATAAAGATCATTTTCTAACCTTCTTTACCTTTCCAAAGAAAATTAAATTGTTTCATATAATTTGTTGAAGCTTCATGGGAGTATTCAAACATCTGAAGATGGTTAACAAGCACAAATATATACATGCATTCAGTTTCATGGAATTGCTCACAAGATACATCAATACTCAATGTTACTCAATACAGGAGTGTCAGTTTTAATCTTAATGAATGCACCTTCATTCAGTGTGCCCAGCCATTTGATAGCATCCTCATCAGGCAGATGAAGAGACAGAAGCCCGCCATCGAAGTAAGTCAGCAGGCACTTGTCAAGGATATGCGACATAGTCTGAAGTTGCCCACATCTACATCGCGGGTCATTAGAGAAACCCCATTTGAACAGCTTGGCCACACAACTGCCCTGTCCTGTTTGAAACTGGTTCAGGGATGACCACTGGTACCTTGGTAGGTCAAAACCTGGTGGGCAGATGGTTGGCTTGGTGATGAGAGAGTGACTAATGACTTTCGTCGCTGACCAGTCATTAAGCCAAGCAGATTCCAGCATCTTGTCCTGTGGTGGCATAAGTGACTATAAAGGGCATCCAGAAGACATACAAATTGGTGAGTGGTTGAAGAGGTCTGAGTAGAGAAGCAAGTCACTGTCCTCATGGATCTTGGCCAGGAGCATAAAGAAAACCCCCTCATGGTGAATATGGGGTGGTGCTATGTTACTAAGTATTGGCAGCCATGACAACAGTTGCACGTGAAGTCCTGGTAACAATGTGCATAGCTTCATTAAGCTCTACATAGACCAGCCTTGTGGGAGATGAGCGACACAAGACAGGAGTACAGTATTCTGCTGTTGAACAACAGAGAGCAAGGGCTGATGTTTTAAGTAGCCAGTTTTCTGAGCATGTTGTTTTGAGTGCTAGCTTTGGCTGCTGTCTTCAAGTGATTGCAGTACGTCAATGACCTCTCCAATATCACGCCGAGGTAAACCAGGTTTGGGTCGTGCTGCAGGTGTTGGCCGTTTAATAAAAAAAAAAAAAAAAAAAATCCTGGTCCATTAGTGTATAATGTCACATCTACTACCATATAGTGAAAGGTGGATGATAGGTCATATGGTGAGAGTAAAAAGATCTAGTTTCAAAGTACATAAGGAGGCTTGGAAGGGAAGCAAGAGATAGGTTAGGATCTCTGGTTTCCTCCCTCTACACTCTCATTCACCCTCTCAACACTGACAGAAAGGCCACAATAGGTAACTGACTTTCTACAGAAGATGGGAAGACAAGTTCTCTTCAAGCCAAAGTGAGCAGGAAGAGGCCTTAAGTATTGGAGGTTCAGATTATTATTATTTAATTTAAATACCCTTGCTAAAACTATGGTTTTGTATTTTACATTTTAAAGAAAAAAATAAAACAACCTGCTATTAATCACAGCACAACACTGTACAATTTCCACATGACTAAGCAAAGAAGTTAAAGATGGAAGAGACGTATTTGGTCATTTTGTTCATCCCCTTCCTTACACTGCATTCTCTAAGTGGTTTATGTAGAATACATTTAAATTATTTTAGTGATAGGTATTCCACACACTATGAGAGCTCACTGTAAGGAACTTTTGACCAATACCCAGAGCCTAACTTTTCCATGGGTCAACTTCATCCCGTTACTTCTTACCCTTCCTTGTTTTTTACACTCCACATACTACTATAATTTCTAAATATTTGAAGTGGGCAAAGATTAAAAGAATGCTTATTATGTTCAGTGACCATATTGAGCTTTCACAGGCATAATCAAGGCTAAACATATCTAGCATCAATCTATTTGTAGGACTTTTAACAACTTCAGAGCTATGCTGTCAATATGGAAGAGAGGCAATGCCTAAGTTTATGCTTTATCATATTATAACCACGTACACCTTTGTATTTTGCAAACGTTTTACTGCATCTGATAATTCAGACACAAACTCCTCCTCATTGGGGCTTTTAAAGTTAGCAATTTAGAAACCTTCACAGCCAGGTACAATTTTTCAACCTCTGAAATGATTAAACTGGCTGAGATGTGCATGTCTTCAGAAACCTTTGCGAAGTCTATGTTTGTTGTGGTATAAAAATGTAAGAGACCTACCCACATGGTTATATTTTGCTTATGTTTCCATCTTTTCAGTACACTTATGCCAAACAATAGCGTGAAAAGTATTATTTGCTGTCTGAACAGTTACTTAAATCTTTTTGGACGGAAAACTTTTTATCAGGGCTGGCTCCAGCTTTTTTGCCGCCCCAAGGAGTGAAGGGGAAAAAAAAAAAAAAAAAAAAGGAAAAGGTCAAATTTCCGCCAAAGGCTAAAACGGAGCACTTGAGCTGCCGCCGAAGTGCCGCTGAAGACCTGAACGTGTCGCCCCAATACTGGACGGAGTGCCGCCCCTTTCTATTGGCCGCCTCAGGCACCTGCTTTCTTTGCTGGTGCCTGGAGCCGGCCCTGCTTTCTATCTATGTTGGTACTCATGGGTTTATCTATCAATGTAGCATCTAAACATCTTTCTCGATAAAGTTGTCACTGAGCTCCAGTAGAAAAGACAGAATTCGACATGGAAAGATATTTCCTTTAAGTCAGGGCTTTGAGGCTCCGAAAGAAGGTGGTACTGGGAAACTTGTACAATTGTAATTGAGCTTTTTCAACTGTGTGGTTAAATGGACACTTTTTTTTAGTGCTGTGAATCCAGCATCTACAAGGAGCATTTAAGATTGTTTAAATAAAATAGGTTTTAAAAAACATTCTGCTGAGCTTTAGAAGAATCCACAGATATCAACCTTTGCCATCTTCCATAAAAAAATATAAGAAAGTCCTTGCTGTACTCTGAGGCAAACACCTCCCCTATTGCATTCAGAATGGATATTCTAATCACCATACCAAGTCCATTTAGAAGATGGCTTCCCACGAAATTCAAGGAAAGGATATCTCTTGACCAAATTCTTTTAAAAGATTCTTTTTATATTTTTCTTTAACTATTTTTGATCAGTATGTTTACCATACTAGTGATGCAATTCAGACAAACTTACAACATTTGCCCTGATCATCACAAGGGATTTTAAACCTATTACTCCCTCAGCTACACATCATTGTTCCATTAAAGCTGGCAATAAACAGTTTGTCCATTATCAAGATCTACATAAAATTGTTTCTTCCTCAAGAGAAATTAATGGATGTCCACCCATTTCCTTACAAGTTGTCTCTGATTTCATTGTGGCCAAACTTTTATAGCCCTTCTAATATCCCCTACATCCTAACTTTCAGAAAAGCTGAGTGTAACAGGGTGCTGGCCTAAGAGGCACTGAACCAGCCCCTGTTAGCTCAGCTCCTGCTAGCTGAGCTCCCATTAAGGGGAAGTAATTGGAGTGGGCAGGGTGTGGCTCATTAAAGGGCTGCAAGGTAATCACTTGTGAGCTTTATGGGGAGGAGGCCTATAAAGCTAGCAGGAAGGAACAGGAAGGGGGGGACAGGAAAGGGAGGAGTTAGGGATCGCTGTTCCCCAGATGGCTACCTGAGTAATACTGAAGCATACAGAACTGTATATAAGTGGTCGTGGAAACGCACGCAGGGAAATAAAAGGCACTGGGGTTTGGAAAAGACTGGTCTCCGACTGATTTGTACCATGAGCAAGGAAGGGCTCGTCTACACTGAGGTTTTCCCTTGTTCAAGTGAGAATGATCTTAGCCAGGTAGGTTTGGACACAGTTTTACTGACTCGCCACATCCCTTTTTTAAAAAGCTGCAGTTTATTGATAAAGAAGAAATAAGATGGATAAGATTCATCAATTGGATTCAAGATAATACAAATATACTACACCATACTGTTTCTTTGTATGTATCATTTCATATATAGGATTTACTCCGACCTACACAGAAGTGCACAGGCCCTGAATGTGTCATCTCAAAAATTAAATTCAGCTTATTTAACCTTGAGAAAATAAGCTTAGATAATCAGGGGGAAAAGAAACAATAATACGGAAAATATACAAGAGTTCCAAATAAAATAAAACCACACATTTCTGTCTCATTTTTTCAACATTTATTCCTGGGGTAGGAAAGCCTCCGAGCACTGTGTCCCCAAAACATGATGCAGTGGATTAGTTCTGTCAGTTTTAGGAGAGATTCTTCCCATTTTAGCAGACATTTTAGGAAACTGTTCTTATCTTAACCTCCGCTGTCTAAAGTATTATTCACAGACCTTGTGTCCCTACACTTTAAGGCACAATCCCTCACTGGTCTGGATTGAACCCCAGAACATGACAGACCTCTTCCAGGCTCTAAATGTGATTTGGGACCGGCACACCTCCAAAGATCACCCTTGATTCATGTCTGAAGTATAAAGGAGAAACTGTTTACATTTAGGATTTGCCATGCCACCCCAGTTCTTCTCACATAATCCTTTCCCCACTTCTATGAAATGAAACATACTTTTTTCAAGAAGGGAGGGACACATTTATAGTTCAGGTCAAGCTCCCAACCAACTCAACACAGATTCCTGCTGTAAAAAACATTATTTCAAACAAATCTTTCTTCCCCAGTGGATAACCATTCTCTGGGGCTCTCATCCACACTTCTACAACCACTGTTCCATCACAACCCACACCACACAAAATGCAGTCAAAAAGGAATTCTCTTCTACTAAACTGATAGGAAAGAACTACATCGACTTAGATATTGGTATAGAAAGTATGATTATTAAGTTTGCGGATGATACCAAAC